TGTGTAATATGCTAAATAAAATAAATAGGGATATGTTACGCATAATTTCTTAACTGCTCCTCAATATTTCTCCCCTTGTCTCGCTCCTAACCCTTTGCCAAACAGTCTTGTGAACTACTTATCAGTGTTCCAAAGGACTATGGAATGGCAGTGTTCCAATATCTCTGGGGCAGCCACAAAGAAGAAGGGGTCAACCTATTTTCCAAAGCACCTGAGGGTAGAACAAGAAGCAAAGGATTGAAACTAATCAAGGAGAGAAGCAATCTAGAACTGAAGAGAAATTTCAATGGCTTGCCTCCAGAGGTTGTGGGTATTCCAAGTTTTTAAGAAGAGATTGGACAACCACTTTTCCGAAATAGTATAGGGCTATGATAACTAACCTGTGGCACGCAGAGCCCTCTCTGTGGGCACATGCGCTGTCGCCAGCTGCTCTTCTAGTTTCCAGTGTGTGCATGTGCTCCAGCCAGTGGGTCTTCGCGCACACCAGGACCCCAAAGACCAGCTGGCTGGCACTCTGGTGAGCACAGAGACCAGCTGGCCAGCGTGCATGTGCGTGCCGGAAACCCAAAAGCCAGCTACCTGGTGATCCAGCATGCATGTTTCAGTTTGGGCACTTGGTGCCGAAAAGATTTGCCATCACTGGTATAAGGTTCCTGCCTGAGCAGGGGATTGGACTAGAGGACCTCCAAGGTCTCTTGCAACTCTGTTATTCTATTATCTCCTCTCTATGCCTACAAGAGGTCTTCTGTGACTCTTACATTTCCAAATACATTACTGTCACAATTTTGCCCTTATGATTGTCTTTTTAATTTGCACATCTGTTGAACAGATTTCTTATTCAGGAAAGATCAGTTCCTTTGTCATGACCCTTAGGAGTTTAATACGTAAAGGAGTGGGTACAGAGCAGAGGTGGGTTCCTACCAATTCGCACCTATTCGGTAGAACCAGTTCGTCAAATCTACCGAACCGGTTAGAAGCGGTTGCACCAGTGGACCCGGAAAGCAGGCTACACCTACAGAAGAGGTTCCAAAAATTTTTGAAACCCACTACTAGTACAGAGGTGGTATTCAGCAGGTTCTGACCAGTTCTGGACAACCGGTAGTGGAAATTTTGAGTAGTTCGGAGAACTGGTAAATACCACCTCTGGCTGGCCGCACCCCCATCTATTCTCTGCCTCCCAAGTCCCAGATGATTGGGAGGAAATGGAGATTTTACAGTAACCTTCCCCTGCCATGGCCACCAAGCCATGGCCACCAAGCCACGCCCACAGAACCAGCAGCAAACATCCCCATGGTCATGTGACCAAAATTCAGGTGCTTGGCAATTGGCATGTATTTACAGTGGTTGCCATGTCTTGGGAGGTCATGTGATCAACATTTATGACACTTCAAGCCAGCTTCTGACAAGCAAAGTGAATGGGAGAAGCTGGATTTGCTTAACGACCACAAGATTCACTTAACACCTGCAGTGATTCTCTTAACCACTATGACAAAAAAGGTGGTAAAATCAACTGTGACTCACTTAACAACTGCCTTGCTTATCCACAGAAATTCTGATCCCAATTGTGACTGTGAATGAAAGGCTACTTGCATTAATGTTCATTTTCACATCACCTTTCCTTGTCTGACTTTAATTCCCATAATCCACAGTCTATGCAATTGGAAAAGAATCGTTTGCACTCTTCTCTCTCACCCAGAGCTGTCTTAATAGCATTATGGCTCCCGAGCAAAGTGCATTGGGGCCCCTACGACAGCAACTCATAGGAATAAAAATGTAAATGATGGATAAAATTAAACATACTTATTTTATTGGCACTTCCAACCAAATCGGTGTTGAAACATTAAAAACTTGCTGTGCAGCAACAACTAATCAACATGATAAACATTTCAGCTTTCTCGAGGCTTGGAAAACACAATAATACTCAGTAAGCCTTACAGTTGCTGTATTTATATGATACAAGGTGCATTGAAGGGTTAACATACACAGATTAGTATGGGGCCCCTATGCTCTTGGGGCCCCGGACAAGTGCCCATCAGGCCCATGCGTTACGATATCCCTAACTTCCAGATACTTTCCCCCCCTTTTTTCTTTCAGAAAGAGACTCCCCAAAAACAAGCTTTCCATCTCGATGGATCCTTTGGATCTGTTGCTACAGTAACGGGGAAACAGGAGGATTTTGCTCAAGAGAACTAATCTGATTCAAACAATACAGCAGCAGTGCACAAGCAGATCCTGGTAACTTCTCTTTGCCCTAAAGCCTCTGTAACTCTGGCTAACTAATTTCCGTGCTGCTCATCATAATGACAACACTTCATTCTTATTTTTTTTTAAAAAGAAACCTTCCACCGCAATGCCTCCTTCCCCGAGCCTTAGAAGCTGTTTTGTAGGATCGTGAGTATATACAGAGTGGATTTCCCACTCCCACGCACCCATTTTGGAGCAAAAGCAGGGAATCCTATCTTATAAATTATCCTAAAAATAATCTTCCTCACGCTTTGTGGTCTGCCTTTTGCTCAAGATGATTCAGTGGCATGGAGTTCTTTAGAGTGTGCCGTGCCCTCTTGCAAACGACAGTCCTGCAAAGACCCTAAAGATAGAGGTTCCCCTCGCACATGTGTGCTAGTCGTTCCCAAGTCTAGGGGTTGGTGCTCATCTCTGTTTCAAAGCCAAAGAGCCAGCACTGTCCGAACACATCTCCTTGGTCATGTGGCCGGCATGACTAAACACCGAAGGCGCACAGACCGCTGTTACCTTCCCACCAAAGTGGTCCCTATTTTTCTACTTGCATTTTTACATGCTTTCGGACTGCTAGGTTGGCAGAAGCTGGGACAAGCAACGGGAGCTCGCTCAGTTAAGCGACGCTAGGGATTCAAGCCGCTAAACTGCCAACCTTTCTGATCGACAAGCTCTGTGTCTTAGCCACTAAGCCACCACCTCCCTTTTGAAAGAACCTAGAGATTTCTAAATGCATGAAAGCGCATCGCCCTATTCTATATAAATGCATGTGCTTTGGGGACGTCTACCCTTTTTCTCCTGCCTTAAAAGAGCTTTTCTTTTCGATTCCCACCCCCCTCTCGTTACAGGCTTTTCTTTTTCCTGGTTTGAAACCTCTTTTTCTGGGAAATCCATGGAAAACTAAAATTCTAGCCAGCAGAAAAATGAAAACTATAAGCTTGGATTCAGCAACTAAACTGTTAAGTATTGGGAAGAATATGCCCCCCCCTTCCTTGCCCATCTCACCACCCACATTTCACTCATGAACGCGGCTCCCTGATGGTCACTATGGTGATCGTGGCAAGCCAAGCTATTCACACAACTCTCCTGTCAAATGGCAAAGAGGGTGGAACGATTTGGGTTGCCATCCCTGCTCCAGGAAATGAGGGAAAGGGTGTTAAACCCCCCACCTCCTCTTCTTACTGCTGTTTTTTTTTTAAATAGAGGTTTTGGGGAATGTGCTTGTGGACCTAAGCAGAGAGAGAGAAAACTTGCAAACTGCGGCCGCTGCATCCTTTGGCTCTGCGCTGTGCGTCGCTCGTGAGCGTGCAGCCAAAATGCTTCTCAGGTGTGCAAAAGAGAGTGAACCGGTTTATTTTTAGTCCGCATCCTTCCTTTCTATTCTGCAGAGCCTAGTTAGGTGGGGGGACGGGCCCCAAACTCAACAACAAACTTAGGGGCTACGCTCAGGCATCTCCCCCGACCCTACTAGAAAATGTTAACCGTTGCACAATAATAACACTCGCAGCATGCAATTGCATGGGGGGGAGTGAGTTGGGGGGGGAAGAAGGGGTCAAAACTAATACTATCATATTTTATTGATTTGCTCATTTGTATTGGAGGAGCTAGCAATAATTTCGCTCTTCGTTCATCTCAGCCATTGCACTATCCCCCTCGCTGAGCAGCCCCCCACAATAACATTCTCCCCCTATGCAAATAGGGTGCAACATTCACAGGCTGGATTTCCCTCTTTGGTCCAACCCTAGTTTCTATCAGGGGCAACTCAATAACCCAGGAGGGTGTCTGAACGCCCCTTCCTAGCTAGGATTCTCCCAGTCTGGCTTTGCCTGGGACAATTAGCACCCAAACTTAAGATCGTTCCTTTCAACTCAGGAAAAAAGAAAAACGGGCACAGGGGTGACTCACCTCTGCCTCCCATCCCAGCAGGCACAGGAGCCCTGCTGGGAGGGGAAACATGGCAATGGTTCGCCCCCCTTTCAGTGCACAGTCACTTACCTAAGATAATGAAGGGGTTGGATCGCCTTCTTGCTGTGAGTCGAATTGTAAGTGGGTTTCTCCATGGCAGGAAGGGAGGGGAGAGAGTCTGCCTTTCCAAGTTTACACCTGGGGGACCCTTGCTCCCCCCACCCCCAAAAAGACCCTCGACAGCTCCCTCCTTTCTATCCTCTAGGGCTGACAGAAGATGGAGAGAAGTAATGAGAAGAGATTAAATGAAATGGGCAGCGGTAACAATTTCTCCCTGGCTGGCAGTTTCGCCAATGTGGGCACCCCAGAAGCACAGTGGCGCTTGATTGGCTGGCTCTTCCAAAGAACAGAAATCAAAGGGGGGGGGGAGAGAAAGCTTTGCAGTCACCCAATGGAAAAGCACAGCTGGGGGGGGGAGTGGTTAACTCTTTCTCTTCTCAAAAGGGGGGGGGGGGGGATTACGGTGGCTTATCTTCTATACCTTGTGACTCAGGCTGGCAAGGAATAAGAGATGCCCAGGAGACTTCTAGTTTGTGGGGTGGTCTTGGAAAGTTGTCCTGGTTTTTCAGACCATAACTTTTTATGTGTGATGAAAATAAGACCAATCGCCACTCAGCCCATTATATTGGATCCTACGTTGGCCTAGGTTTTTTTTTAAAATAATATTTTTTTTATTTTTGAATAAACACAAACAGACAAAACACCACAAAAATATCTTCCATTACAAATTATAAAGAGCGTGTCAATTGGTTACAAAGAGCTTTTGTGCATCCCTTCCACAGTCATCACCTATACAATTCATATCAAATTACATGTTTTAAATCAAATATATTTATATGATGACGGATATTGTTAAATATCTTCATATGACTATGATAGTTTTTACGTCCCTTTATATAAAATATTCCAAAATTTAAAGCAAAACCACATGGTGGCATTCTGTTATCTATTTTCAATAACATTCAGCAACATTACATCTTTATGACACTTTCTAAATAAAAATGAATTATGTTTAATAACAAAGTTTCTAGACCTCCTTTCTTAATCAGTTTACAATTTATATCCAATTTCCCTTTTAACATGTCAATACAAATGTTACATTATTATCATTATCAATCATTTATTTAACAATATCCGTCATTATTTCATTTTTATTTTTTTATTTTTTGGGTCTTAGTTTAACTAGGTTTTCTTGGTAACCCAAATGGCATTGTGAGACATAAAGAATTGATAGTATTTTTTAAGTGATCGGCTGCAACAAGAACCTAGGAAATGATTTGAATATCACCATAAGGTGGCAGATGTGCTGCAAAATGGAAACATTGACCTCCCCAAATGGGAAATTTTGATAATGTTTCACTTTACCTGGTTTAAACTTATTTATACTAACAAAGGCAAAATGTTTGAGTGTGGCACATAGACAATCTAATTAAATAACCTTGAGTCAGGGGTGTGTTGCTGCTAGCGTTACTGCCGGTTTACAACCCGCGTGCAATGCGCACCAGGCACATGCCGTGCGCGCATGCACTATTCAATGTAAATTGTTCTTCGTGCACGTGCAGAGCAATTTACAGTGAACTGAGCATGCGTAGTCACTAAAATCCAAAATGGCGTCAGCCAAGCGTCAGCATGGGAACCGGTTTGGGGGCATGGCAAGCATGGGTCGCTGCTGGTTCTGTGACCCACCCCTGAATTCCACTACCGGTTCAACTGAACCGGGCCGAACCGGCAGCAACCCAATGTATTGTCCTTCTGTTCGTATGCCAATGTATTGTTAATAAATTGGAATAAGTAAACAGACATTCTTTTATAACATCAACCTTTGTTATCATTATTATTATTGTTCTTGCTCCTGCTGCTGAGTTTTTAAACCAACTGGTTGCTTAGTCAGAAGGTTCAAGAAAAAAGGATGATGTAAC